TGTGCGTTTGGGGGGTAGGGGGTAATTTATAAAAAAATAGGGATTTTTTTTTTATTCGTGGAAAATATTGATGGGTTTCAGAACTTCCACCCTGTCGAATCTTGATTTCGTGTGACAAGTAGAACAAATCATAGAAAATTTTGAAATCTCAGTAACTACAACGTTTATCAAAAAAATACTTCCAATAATGTCGATGCGCCTATGTTTCAAGATGCCAATGGTTCTTCGATTTTGAAAATCGAAGCATAAATAAGGAAGATATTGATAAAATCATAATGCAATGCAGGTACCACGGACGAACGCGTTACGCCGCTTTCGTACCCCTATTCTCCCCGCAATACCCGTGGCTATCATGGTTCCATACGCTTTCGTTATACACATCAACATTGAGGCGTTGACCATTGCATTTAATGGTGACTTATTGTGAATTAATTATTCGATATTTGGTACTGTGTGCTCTGTTTCAATAATTAAATAAGTATTGATTAGCTAACGAAATCTATTATTGTAAATTTATCATAAAATATATGTTTCTCTAGATAAAAGATGGAAAGTACTAGCAATTCAGACACTGATCTTGAATATGTCTTGAAGTTGAAGATTCGTTTCCAGCAGAGTACAGAATCATCGAGAAAATGTTTCATTTGTGGAAAAGATGGTCAACTCCTTCGTTGTACAGAATTATCGATAAAAACAACTCAAAGTTGTATGAAAATAAGAAAATAAGAGAAAACCTCGGAAAAAACTATGCGAGGCAAATCGATATGGAACTTCAGAGAATTGATGATATTTTCAATGAAAATAAAGGTCAATCGATCTTCTGGCACAGGAATATTGAAAACTGGAGACAATAATGTCAGGAATAAAACGCTTTCTATAGTGGAATTGATGTGAAGGTATTTTTGATGTGTCTAAAAGAATTTTTTACCAAAAACGTTCAAATAAGAGTCAAGTTTTGACCTAGTATTGACTACCAACATTGTTTAGTGCCATGGAAGTCAAGTATCATAAACAATGCTTTGTATCGAATTGGAAACATTATAGAGGATCACTGAGTGAGAATAAAGTTGTCATACCACACATGACAAAGAATTTGATAATCTGATAAAATTAATAGATGGTGCAGATTTTCTAATGAAAAAGGGTATTCTTTCAACTGTTTATATCAAAAATATGGCAAACTTGGTGGCAAAACTGGTAGGAAAATCTTAATCGAAGATTACTTTCTGTAGGTTTATCGAGAAGGTGAAACATTCATTTTACTCGATTTTTCGGGATTTTCTCTCCTCGTTTCTTTGGACGTTTCAGCAACGAATCTGCTCCCGTTCTCAACATGAAAATGCAACTTCCAAAGAAAAATGTTTTGCATTTTCATGTTGAGAACGGGAGCAGATTCGTTCCAGAAACGTCCAGAGAAACGAGGAGAGAAAATCTCGAAAAATCAAGTAAAATGAATTTATCGAAGGAACCAGAAAGCCCTACGACAAGGAAATAGAAATTATCAAATAAATCAAAACGTTCTAATGAGTCGTAATTTGTGATTCCAAAAGTGACAAAAACTCATCTGATTCATACACATATAAAGAACAAAGTGAAATTACAGAAGATAACTCCCCTGACTTTGTATGCATCAGATATGACCCAGATACACAAACTTTTTTGAGATATTCATCAAGATATGAGAGAAATTCTAGATTATAAACAACTCAAAAATATGGATGTCAAGGCTTACAAGGATATTATACCAAAAAACTTTTTTCAAATTAGTTGCCTTATTATACACGATAAAGTTGATTCAGTTGATTCAAAGGTGTTGAATATCTGATGTCAAGGTATAATACTCGCTAATTCGAAATTCAAAAAACTCACACCGAAACACGTTGGTTTGGGAATAATGATTCATCAAGAGACATGATCGAAAAAAATTACCATAGCTTTGTGTTCTTGTGGACACTGTATCGTATTTACGTGTATTTACAACTTCGCAATTCGATAGGTATCAAATAATGTTTTTTTCAAGTTTCCACAAGGATATCCTCTTTTTATTTCAATATTATATGCATCATGTTTTGTTTCAATATTTGTCAATTTGTTTTTAAATGAGATGGTTGACATTTTACTCTGATGGATAAGAAATGTACTTTCGAGATAGAATCATTCATAAAATAAATGGAGGGCACTTCCAATCAAACAGCAAGTTAAAATAAATTTCTGTTAACTTGGAAAATAGCGATCAATTCCATTTCTCCCGTGAATTCCAAGATCGTACTATTCTGTAACACTCAGTGATTCATATTTACGGTGATCGTTCTATGACGGCTGCGGGTGTTGCGGGGAGAATCGGGGTATGAAAGCGGCGAGTCGCCGTCCTTCGTACTACCTGCATTGCATTATGATTTTCCCAATATCTTCCTTATTTATTCTTCGATTTTCAAAATCGAAGAACCATTCGCATCTTGAAACATAGGCGCATCGACATTATTTCGAGTATTTTTTTGATGAACGTTATAGTTACTGAGATAATGCGAGGTATATGAAAAGCAATTTAACGAAAATTTACAAGTTTCGAGTTATAGCCGTTTGAAATATGATTTTCTCATATATCGTAATGTAATTGGTGAATTTCAAAATTTTCTATAATCTGTTCTACTTGTCACACGAAATCAAGATTCGACAGGGTGGAAGTTCTAGAACCCATCAATATTTTCCATGAATAAAAAAAAATCCATATTTTTTTATAAATTACCCCCTACCCCCCAAACGCACAGGACGATTTTTTGACGACAAGTGGATACATGATCTGGAGATGGTAGGTAACAATTCTAGCCATGTCACAGCTTTTTACCTCCGATTTCCCACCAACTTTTGATCTAAGCGACTTATGGTTCGTTTGGCACTCTACTACCATCCATACAACATCCACGACAAATTATTTTGATATAATAACCGACTATGACAACATATTGAATATAATTCCTTCAAGTGACGAAATGTTTGTTATAGAAACGAAAATGTTGTTATGATGACAAACAAGATTTTGTTGATTCAACAATGTTTTCTCTTTGTTTGTGTAGAACATAACTATACTTTTGCTATAGGTACTCAGCTTAGTAGGAACAAATCGAATATATTTTTATTGAAATAACATAACATAATATTGATATGTTCATGATACCTCATTTGTTGTGGACTAGAAAAATTTAAAGCTTCATCAGCAAAAAGAAAAGCTTTACCCAGTGAAATTATTTAGGTACAGCAAGAAAATAAATGAATAGGAGAGCACTTGCACAGAAGGAAATCTAAAAAATATCCTGGTAAAAACATATCTCTCTATCCTTACTTATCTTATAACGCAAACATAAAAATATTCAACATTGATATACATCGATTTCGATATTGCTAGTACACGAATTTTCTAATCTATTTACAGAAACGAAGATTATGTATATTACTAATACTGCGCGCATTCCTGATGTATAGCTAATATTTCAGAGTTGTAGTGTCAAAAGTCTAGGGGAGACTCTACTCAATAGGTAATGGACATTTTGAATATTGATAATATCAATAGCTTCGAAACGCTACATCCAATTTCAATGAAATTCTTATAGTTCATTCGAACAACTATCCGATATCTACTGACCCAATTGAATTTTATCCAAAATTTTCAGGGGTGTACCTAGCCACGTAATTATTGAGGTAGGGTTCTGAAATTTGCAGGAAGAAGGGAAAGTCCAAAGATGAAGTCGATTACGTAAGATACACGAATGCTTCCGTAAAAAGTGCGACAAAATTTAATTTTTCAGAACTGAAAATTTTCCAGGAAAAATATGAATAGTTAGTGAATTGGGCGTCCTGATTCCGAATCCGAAGCGATTTTCAACCTATTTTGACTCCTGATATCATTTTCCGGAAATTAAGGTGGTTCCATGGCTGTTGACGAGCAGTGTATATCACTGGAGATGACCTCACTTGGTCATAGAGTGCATTTTCCGTATATCTCTCGATCCAACAAATTTCAGGATCCTTACCCAAGGATTACGTAAGATACAGGGTTGTTTCCATTAGAAGTGGGTCACACTGTAGGAATACTGTATATTGAGTGAAGTGGAACCACCGAATATTTCTGTATATTCATGGATTTCAATAAACTATACCCAATATAGTTTCAAATAAAACAATATCATTAAAACTCCTCTCTCATTAATCTAAAACAATGAACTATCTGTACCAACATTCTACTTGATTTTTAACCTACAGACAGTATCTGTACCTAATATAATAATATCTATTTCGTTAAGTAGGTACATCATATAATAATTAAAGAAAATCAACAATTTTCGGTTCAAATTCACATAGTTTTTGTAATAAATATAAGCTTCTCCTATGAATCAATTCAACATACCTTATATATAAAATCAACAAAATTTACATAATAATATTCGTCATCTCAGAAACATTCAATCTAACAAAATGGGAGATCCTTCCTTTGTTATATTTGCGAAATATTGAGGTTGTCATCAAAAAGTATTCATACCAACAAAATGGGAACAATGGTAGAGATAATATCTCAAAATGCATTCCATATCCTTCTTGAATACAATCAGAGGATTCATTGAGGTTATGATCGAGAACTTCAACTTTCCGTCGTGTAGGATAGCGAAGCCAGTTATATGAATCAAGTGATCCATTCATTTAGCATGTTGGAGTTTTGATAAAAGATATACCATTACAGGACTAATGAATTTGATACCAGAATGAGCAAAAGACCGACCCTCTCTAACGTCTAGCCGACTGTAGGCACACCTGTTACTGTTTCAATGGTCTTCATGAGTAGATTATACTGACCAATTATATGGAAGTTATTGCAACTATTTATCTATATATACCAGCTACGTGAATGAAGAAATAATCCTAATATGGCATGATATGTTTCGATAGATGACCCTCTGAAGATGGAGGCGTTCAAACATTCCAACTTCAAAGAGAACTCCAGAAAAAAATCACGTAGGTTTCTTCAAGAGACTCTGCATCGCCATCAAACTCTCTTCTAGAGATTGCGCGAATTTAGAAGAGCTGGTGCTTTCAAAATTCCAGAGCGCAGACAAACAGAAGATGATTCCATCACCTTTGGGGTCATAAGAGGCCCCATACTCATCCTCTTCTACTGGCCCGTAGCCCATGAAACTGTCTGAGCTGGTCGAGATCTGGCTGGTGGTGGGGAGGAACTTGATTGCTAACCAGTGAAGAAATGATCCTAATATGGCATGATATGTTTCGAAAGATTACCCTCTGAAGATATAGAGAGGTTCAAACAGACCAACTTCAGATAGAACCTCTAGATAATAATTACGTAGGTTTCTTAAAGAGACTCTACATCCCCATCAAACTTTCTTCTAGATATTGTGCGAATTTAGAAGAACTGGTGCTTTCAGAGGAACAGAACGCAGACAAACAGAAGATGATTCCATCACCTTTGGGGTCATCAGAGGTCCCATATCCATCCTCTTCTACTGGCCTGTAGCCCATGAAACTGTCTGAGCTGATCGAGATCTGGCTAGTGGTGAGGAGGAACTTGTTGGCTAGCTGGTAGGAGGGATCTTTGGCAAGTGACCAGTAGCAGTGGGTATGCATCAACCAAACTCTCATCATATGGCATATTCCGTAGTTGTTTTGATAACTGCATAACGTTTATGTCCATTCATTCAGCATGTTGGAGTTTTGATAAAACATATACCATGACTGGACGAACGTATTCGATTTCAGAATGAGCAGTAGACCGAACCTGTCAAACGTTTAACCGGCTGCAGGCACACCTGTTACTGTTTTGATGGCCTTTATGAGTAAATTACACCGGTCTATTAATCATTATGAGAGTTAGTGCAACTCCTATATACTATTGTATCACTCTTAATATATATACCAGCTATGTGTATGAAGAAATAATCCTAATATGGCATGATCTGTTTCGATAGATGACCCTCTGAAGAGGTTCGAACAGTCCAATTCTAAAGAGAACCTTCACAAAAGAATTACGTAGGTTTCTTCAAGAGACTCTGCATGGCTATCAAACTCTCTTCCAGAGACTGCGCGAATTTAGAAGAGCTGGTGCTTTCAGAAGACCAGAACGCAGACAAACAGAAGATGATTCCATCACCTTTGGGGTCATAAGAGGCCCCATACCCATCCTCTTCTACTGGCCCGTAGCCCATGAAACTGTCTGAACTGGTCGAGATTTGGCTAGTGGTGAGGAGGAACTTGTTGGCTAGCCGGTAGGAGGGATCTTTGGCAAGGGACTAGTAGCAGTGGGTATGCATGAACCAAACTCTCATCATATGGCATATTCCGTAGTTGTTTTGATAACTACATAACGTTTATGTCCATTCATTCAGCATGTTGGAGTTTTGATAAGACATATACAATGACTGGACGAACGTATTCGATTTCAGAATGAGCAGTAGACCGAACCTGTCAAACGTTCAACCGGCTGCAGGCACACCTGTTACTGTCTTGATGGTCTTTATGAGTAAATTACACCGGTCTATTAATCATTATGAGAGTTAGTGCAACTCTTATATACTATTCTATCACTCTTTATATCTATACCAGCTATGTGAATGAAGAAATAATCCTAATATGACATGATCTGTTTCGATAGATGACCCTCTGAAGAGGTTCGAACAGTCCAATTCTAAAGAGAACATTCACAAAAGAATTACGTAGGTTTCTTCAAGAGACTCTGCATGGCTATCAAACTCTCTTCCAGAGACTGCGCGAATTTAGAAGAGCTGGTGCTTTCAGAAGACCAGAACGCAGACAAACAGAAGATGATTCCATCACCTTTGGGGTCATAAGAGGCCCCATACCCATCCTCTTCTACTGGCCCGTACCCCATGAAACTGTCTGAACTGGTCGAGATTTGGCTAGTGGTGAGGAGGAACTTGTTGGCTAGCCGGTAGGAGGGATCTTTGGCAAGGGACTAGTAGCAGTGGGTATGCATGAACCAAACTCTCATCATATGGCATATTCCGTAGTTGTTTTGATAACTACATAACGTTTATGTCCATTCATTCAGCATGTTGGAGTTTTGATAAGACATATACAATGACTGGACGAACGTATTCGATTTCAGAATGAGCAGTAGACCGAACCTGTCAAACGTTCAACCGGCTGCAGGCACACCTGTTACTGTCTTGATGGTCTTTATGAGTAAATTACACCGGTCTATTAATCATTATGAGAGTGAGTGCAACTCTTATATACTATTGTATCACTCTTTATATATATACCAGCTATGTGTATGAAGAAATAATCCTAATATGGCATGATCTGTTTCGATAGATGACCCTCTGAAGAGGTTCGAACAGTCCAATTCTAAAGAGAACCTTCACAAAAGAATTACGTAGGTTTCTTCAAGAGACTCTGCATGGCTATCAAACTCTCTTCCAGAGACTGCGCGAATTTAGAAGAGCTGGTGCTTTCAGAGGACCAGAACGCTGATAAACAGAAGATGATTCCATCACCTTTGGGGTCATAAGAGGCCCCATACCCATCCTCTTCTACTGGCCCGTAGCCCATGAAACTGTCTGAACTGGTCGAGATCTGGCTGGTGGTGAGGAGGAACTTGTTGGCTAGCCGGTAGGAGGGATCGGTGAAGATCGTCGGCAGGGGGCTGGCAGCTGTGGGGGAGGTTTCTCTGGCAGCCTCCCGCAGACCTAGGAGGTGGATGTCGATGCCTTGTCCGAGGATGTTGTCGACCATTTCGGTGGTTTGGGCCGATACGGCTTCCTTCCAGAGGAGGAGCTTCTTGTCATCGCTCACCAAGTGGAAAGTTACCTTGATACATAAGATGATATACAGGGTTTTGAAACTTGAGTAGGCACTATTGCTAACTTGGTTATTATTGGAGCTACAAAGTTGGTTGAATGGACAAACAAATGGTATTTTGTCTGCTGGATACGATGAAGACATCCAAAGAAAAATTAGACATCGCGATTACGAGTTATGGTAATACGAAAAAATATACAGGATGTTCCATTCAAAGAAACATAACTTTGGTTTATATCTCAATAATAACAGCTTATTCTGAAAATCTTTTTCACTATTTCGATAAGTTGTAAGAGATAGCTGAGAGATACAGGAGGAGGAACCTAGAATTCAACATTCTCAATCCCACCCTGTATCTCAAAAAGAAAGCGTGCTAAGACAATTTTATTTGAAATATCGCGCGTTTCACAAAGAAGTAGCCAACGTTCGCATAAACCGCAAATCTCTATCATTGAAAATAAATGAGATATAATGATAATGATAATAATAATAATCATTATTACAACAATGATATGAGTTAATTCAAAAACGTTTGCAGAATATACATTGGAACATACAGATCGGTATTTTGAATAAACTGGGAAAAACCTTACGAAGTGAACCTTGTAGTAAGGATAAAAAAAATAAATGTACATAGGTCAATAAATATTTAACAATATTGAATTATCACAAGAAAAAAATTGTCTCATTAGGAAATGAGGCATCATGTATATAATTCATGTATACTGAGCATTTCATCCAATTCGCATAATTATTTATAATTATATACAGGGTGGCCCATGGTCGAAGGTATCTTAGACGTATACGGAAAACGGTACATTGGATCATCCTGAAGATTTGGTAGTTCTGATAAGCGTTCGTGATCTAACGATTCAAAATATTTTCAGCGATGCAGCGTTGCCACTCTTACCAAAAAGTAGCATCATCTTTGTTATTTCAAATAGAACACCCTGTATTTCATTGCGTTTTTAGATTCTTCTCGAAGAGCTCATCAATGCACCACACTTGGGGTCTAGCAGGAATTATCAAGACTTAATATAGGGACATGTAAGCCATTTTGACCAATGATGAATAGTTTCGACACAAAAAAATCCTAAAGTTGAAAAATCTCGATTTTGAACACCCTATATCTCTGTAATAATTTCTGCTAGACCCCAAGTGTGATACATTGATGGAATCAGCTCTTCGAGAAGAATCTAAAAAACGCAATAAAATACAGGGTGTTCAATTGGAAATAACGAAGATGATGCTACTTTTTGGTAAAAGTGGCAACGCTGCATCGCTGAAAATATTTTGAATCGTCAGATTACAAACGCTTATTAGAGTAACCCAATTTTCAGGATAATCCAATGTACCGTTTTCTAAGGTACCATCGACCGTGGGCCACCCTGTATATAAAGTTGATTTATATCCATTTTCTCAGATTCCTTATATAAAAGTTCAGTTGGAAATAGATAATTTTTTGAATCCATTTTTGTGCAATTTCTAATTTCCTCAAATATATCTGCTTCACTCCACCTCATCCTAATATCCTATATAAACTAATTGAGATTGAATATCATTTCTAAATAACGAATATTTAATAAGTTTGTCAAATGTTTGAATTTAGGAATGAGGTATCTCATTTTCTCAGAGGCATAATCAATATGATGATCAAATTTCAGATTATTGGCCATCATTATACCAAGATACCAAGGTATTTGATACAGTCAGTGTTCTGAATTTCAATTTCTATATCCATCTTGATAGTGCCTAAATTTGGTTGAGAATTTGTATAGGAAGTGGATAGAATATTAATATGTTTGCTTTTGCAAAAATTCCGATCAAACCATTCTTTAATAGTTGGGAAATCATTGATTACTTTGTTTATCGATTCACACATAAAAGATAACAGTATCACCTGCGAAAGAATGTATAGTACCAGTTGAATTCAGTTGTAGTAAGTCATTCAAACAAATATTGAGAAAAAGTGGACCTAAAATACTTCCCGTAAGGACATCGAAAATGGGACAGTCTGTACAGAGCTGCAATGATACCCACCTTCTTATTCCCAGATTCGTCATCTTCCTTCGGTTGGGACATGGCTGTCACCCAAGCTAGGGCTTCTGGTGTAGCCGATCTAATGCAGTCCACCCTGCCGTACCGGAACCTCCTGGTTGATGCACTTTCGTATGTCGCTGTCAATCTTCCGTACAGTTTGTAGTAGGCTAATTGTAAGGCTAGTTGGATGAACACGTCGGGGCTGACTTTGCATGACTTGATGAAGTTCTTCCCGTATCCAGTGAACCTGAATACCTGGAACAATGAAATTCAGTACGCCTGTTCGTTTCATGAATGTGTTGTGTTTCGTTCAGTTAGTCGTGATAAAACCTATTGTTGCTTCACAATGTTTTTCTATATTTTTATTGTTTATTGTTTATTAAGAAACTATCTTCCAGTCAGAAATAAAATTCTGTTATGAGGAAGTTGATTATAAACAACAATAATGAAATAACATAAGATGACAACAACAACAAAAATATTTGAAAAATCTGAAAATGCTAAATCGATCAAGTCATAAAAATAGCCACAGCGAATAATCAGTAGATGGCATTGAAACAATTCTATCTAATTCGTAATAAAATCATGTGTTTTTTAATTCAATTTTCAATGTTGAAATGTGTCTGCAATTTTTTAGGTATATTATGTGGTAATTTATTGAATTCAGCTAGAGCAGCGTGAGTAAATTTTTTTTTGGCCAATTATAGAAGTAGCAGAATAAAGATGGAATAAGTTTTATCGTCCCGTGTGATGACCATGAATTTCTGAGTTTTTTTATCAAAACAAAATTGAATTTCAGATTATTGCACGCTATATTTTTGAGTTATCAAGAATATTTTCAGTATCCATCAAGCAGCAACATCTGTAGGAATATTTATAGAATACATTCATTATTTCCTGGAATTTAGGAAGACCTTTTTATCTACATATACAGGGTGTAACATGAGTATGCATGCATGCGGCTCACTGTCGACATTTATGCGGTCCGTTTTCACAATTTCGAGAGAATCACATCAATAATAACTGATATTTTAGGGTGTAGCTTTGAGTAATGATGGAAGTAAGATATGGTGCGCGTATTCGGCCATTATTACGTATTGAAAATTTCAGAAAAATCACTCGACCGCCCACTGCGATTTCTCTACGTCACAACGAGCGAGACGTTGATTTTACATTTTCCCGCTAGATGGTCATGCTGCTATTGCTGCTGTGACGAGTGGAAATAAAATGGCAAATGGCATTTAAGGTACGCGGAACATATGTAGACTATGTGGGACTATTCAACTCTGAATTCGAAAAATCTGCGACAATTTCAAAACTGACAGATGTCATGATTGTGCAATGTCGCCATATATTAGAAGATCGACGGAATCATTGCTCTCGCTGTTCTCCAGAGGTCGAGGAAAATTTCTGAAACAAAAGCGCATCAGTGATTACACCATATCTTACTTCCAATCATTCTTTTAGTATTCACTCCTCCTATGTCGGTCAAACTGGGCGGAGTTTCGAAATTAGAGCCTCTGAACATAATAGATTGATAAATAGGAATAGGAGCATTAATAATTCAAACAATAGTTCCTCTTTCTCAAACTATATAATTGAATTCAATCATAATTTCAATATATCTGACAACATGGATTTTCTCCACATTTGTAATAAAGGCTCTAGGTTGAACCTCTTGGAAATTCTAGAAATTCAAAAATATATAAATAATCCCAATTTCACTTGTATAAATGATCAAACCAATTTTGAACGTAGCTTGATTTTTCGTACTCTAAAATTCCAATGATTATCATCAAAACATATTATAACCCATACTGGTCTATTGTTGTTCTCTTCCCAATCTCTTGTTCCCATTGTTTTCGAAATTTATTTGGTTTTGTCAATGTCTTGTCATTTTTTCATATTTGACATTGACTGGTGTCATCACTTAATTTAATTTTTATTTGTATGTCAGGTGGTATTGACATTGACTTGTGTCACTTGTTCTGTGTCATGTTTTACTTTTCAAGTGATTCAAGATGTTTCTGTTTCTTCGAATTCCGTCTTAGCTTCCATTTGCATTTTGCATAACCTGATGAATCTCACGTGAGAGAATTTTTTCAAAGTTTTTGATAAAATTGTGCTAATGTATCTCTTTATTGATATAATGCTGATCTGGTTGTACTGGACTTTTGCCAGATTCAAACCTATTTTGGCTTTTTGATTGAATTTTTTTGCTGTTAATATGTATTGCTGAGGTTAGTATATCAACTCTTTGACTCTTTTCAACTCCTTAACAATGTTCATAATTATCTTTTAGGTACTTCTGAATACATCAATTTTGTGTCTGATGATAGCCTGTTGCCGAAACTAATTACACTACCTATATTTATGTTTCGTGGTCGACCGACTTTGGGATTTTTATTATTTTTCCTCATCAAAATTAATTGGACCACTTTGGGAGATATGGATGATGGTTTCCATGATTTTACAATCCTAATTTACAAAACATTGGAATCCTGGTCTCAGCTACATAACACCATTGAGTATTCCACCTATGAACCAGATCTCAGTTTCGGCATACAGGGATGTTCAGAACTTCTCGGGGACCCATGAATGATGTATTCATTATCAATTATTAACACATCAGGGTAAGTTGCAGAACACCCTTGGGTGACACTTCATCTATATCACTCCTCTCATTTCATCAATAAATAAAGACGAATTATTATCAATATTATTGTAGTATCTTTCAGAACATTCTTGAAAATGATGGAGCATTTTTGGACTTTCTCTGGAAGAATCTCGAAATTTCTGGAATGTTCCTAACAGTATGACAACTTCTAGGACATTTTGGCACTCATTTTGAATATTCAATACCTGGAAATCTAGATCCTTGACCAGCCCATCCAGCACCTGCCCCGCCTCCTCGATCCTCCTCACGTCCCGCGTCTCCAGCCCCCACTCCATCCTCTCCGGGGGCGGCAAATGACCTCCGGAGGCAGGCACCTCGACTTGTCCGCCCACCTGTTGATCGGCCCGCCTCCACAGCTCCTCCACCAATCGGATCACGGCCACGCCCTCAGCGTTGGAGTGCTCGTAGCAGAGGCCGCATGCGCCGTCGCCGGAGATGATGAGCTGGACCGTTTTGTCGAACCACCTGTTGCCGGAGTTGTGGGCGTGGCCGCCGCCGTGGAGCATCTGGTGGGCGTGGTTGGTGTCGTCTCTGGGGCCGGTGGTGAAACCTTCGGCACCTGTGGGAGGGGCGAGGTTGAGCTACGCCTTGTTGAAAACAAATCAGTTCGCAAGGTAGCATTTCGCGCACTACCTACAAAAATTTGTAATTTCTTGTTGATTTTCATTAATCGCAGATTTTGCTTTCACTCGGCTTCGCTGGACCATTGTCGATCTAAATGAAAACCTAGTAGGCGACCTAGTGCGAGGACGTATAATAGCTCCTGCCTACTAACTACCTAACTAGGTTGTTATCTAGAACGACAATGGCTGGACGCTATGCCTCGCAAATGCAAAATTTGATTGTCAAACAAAGTGACACATTAGAGTTTATACAAGTTTTCTTTTTCTATACATTTCTATTTTCATTCAAATACTGATCATATTGGTAAGGTATATTTTTATATCACAAAACATCATGTTATTCATCAGATTTGAGAGATGGTGAATTTTCAATGAATTTTAATTCTTTATGCTCTCTTTTTGGATGTTCAACAGATATAATTCAATGTTCGACGTGGCAAATAGCCAGGAAAGTAGTTGTTTTCTGTTAAATATTCAGAATGATGTTATGTACCAATTCAAATTTTCATCTGAACGAGAATGCAAATTCTCAACTTGAGAAGATTTACTTTTCGAATTCTTATCGTGTGTGTTCAATAGATATAATTCAATATTCGTCGTGGCACATAGCCAGGGAAGTACCTACACTGAAAAATAATTGAGTAAAATTAAACTCAAGGTCCACGCAATAATGTGTCAATTTCTGTCCACGCCCGATTGAGTTGAAATATCACCCTACTTGACTGTGTAAAATGGTAATTCATGAGCCGATTCAATCAAATTTGTTGTAAACATTCTGATTGATAGAAAAACTTGATGAAATATCTAGTAAGTGTTGGGGATTCTCTCAAAAATTTCAATCAGTTTTACTTACAACCACATATGCAGTCACTCACATGAATTTTCTACAGTGTAGTTGTTTTCTGTTGAATAATCCGTCGTGAATTGATATTTTTACCACATAGAGAATGCGAATTCCCAATATATTTCTTTTTTACTCACATAACTAAAATGGCATTTAGCGTTCGGATATGTACCACGCTAAATGATCGATTAATCAAAGATTGACGATCTGTGATTATTCATTATATTAAACACGTTACCATGGCAACACGATTTCTTAAACACATCACCATGGCAGCACAGTTCATTAAACACAGCTTCAGTAATTTGAGACATGTCTGGCCTGTCAATTGTAGGAACTGGGAACTGTCAACTGTTATTTTCGAATTTTGTATCAGAATTATTCAAACAATTTTCGTTTGTATCAGAATTCTTCATTGAAAATATATGCGGTATGTAGACGAAAGTGGAATCGAAGAGAATGTTCTGGTACTTGCATATCTCCCAGGAGTGTAAAAATGAAGCATCCATCTTTGAGAACAATTCATTTATTATGCGCTAAGCATGACGATGAATGAGAAACAAAGGTTAGTAAGCAATGGACTGGACACATCTACAACCAATAGCACTTATACGTGTCTCGCTGGTTGCTTGCAGTTGCATCTATTATGTTCTCAATTCCCATTCCTTTCGAATTATTTTGTAGGTTAGCAGGAATAGCAGGTATGTTGATGTTATTTTCGGCGTTCGTAGAAAAAGCATAGTATGTAACGCGTTTATAAACTCTTCTAGACACTCGTTTATTAAACACTCGCTCCGCTCTGCTCCGCTCGTGCTTAAAATACTCGTTACTAAAAGGACGTTTATAACACTTGTTACATAATATACTATTATAAGTATATCCATTTTCCACCACAGGGCTGGACCAACTCCTTCTCCCATTACTCATAGAAGAAGGAAAATTTGGCCTTCTTCTTGGACGAGACCAGGGCTCAGAAGAGTAGTCTTCAGGAACCTGGATGAAAAGGGTCTTTCAAACGAACCTCTAGTACTGTGAGCAGCAGTGCTCACAGTTACTGTGGCGGCATTTGAAGTGGGCCTTTATATAAGAACCATGGATCGTTTATGGTGAAATCAATAACGGCATATTCATGGTACAATGGTACAATGGGTCAACAGGCCTAAGTGTCATCGGAGACTTCGGTCAGACGAGCCTTCAATGGAGGTGAAGTGTTTAGTGGGATACCTACATGTAGGGATTCCCACACTACCATGAGGGGAATGATCCTCCGTGGTGTCCATGAAGAATATTAACCATTTCCGAAAAAAATAGTGCGATCAAAAAGAATTATATTACATATACCTCTCAATTGTCTCTTATGATTCTCTGAGAGGAGGCGATCCATTTTATGACTTAAACTAGGCTCCAAAAATCAGTGCCCTACTCTGAATGTTTCATGACCTTCCTCAAATTCGATTCTAGCTACAGGCCTGAATGGTATTGTTGTTGAATGATTTCGTTATCAATATATTCTCACCTCTTTGAAGACGGCAATTGAAGCTAGGCGGCAAAGCCTCATCCAGACAAACCACGAGCAAGGAAGTCGTTATCAGGTCCAGGTACCGCCTGTTCCTCTCCTCCTTCATCAAGTCCTCCCTGGCCTCGGCCCATAGGGTTCGCGTCCAGCCTGTCAGGAGGCCGATCGGTTGGGCCTCGGATAAGCAGGGAGCATCGTCCAGGATGTACAACATTTGGGAGCAAATTTCGTCCTCACTGAGTCGGCCCCTGTCACCTGCACATCGAATTCGATTCATGTTGATACTGTCGAGAACGATATACCAAATAATTCGAATAAATTCTGGCATTTCGTATCCACAAAGAATAGGAGCAATATTCTACCCAATTCAATGAGGTCGAATTTATATACATCGATTTTAGCAAATCATTCGATAAAATCATCCACAATATACTAATGTTGAAGCTGTCTAAAATTGGTGTACATGAAAACCTTCTTCGTTGGTTTGCTTCATATATTGCCCAACACATCACAAACTGTCGTAGCTAAGGTTATGAAGCCGATTCCTATTTAGTAACCTCAGGAGAACTCCAAGGATCCCATCTGGGACCTTTATTCTTTGTAATATATTCAAACGACATTAGTTTATGCTTTGAATATTGTGAATTTCTGCTTTATGCAGACGACTTAAAAATATTTTCTTGTGTCAAAAGTCCAGGTGATAGTGTCTTAATCCAACACGATCTTGATTGTTTCTATAAATACTGATGTGAATCAAATAAAATTCTCCTGAATTTAGATGAATGCTTTTTCATCTCATTCACTGAACACATCTATATATATATTTTTTATGATTATAATCTCAACAACACCATATTGAAACAGGTGAGTCAAATCAACGATCTGGGGATTATTTTCGACAGAAAAATGACTTTCTTGGCTCATATCGACTATGTTGTTCCAAAAAGCAATAAAACATTATGATTCATAATAAGACAATGTAAACATTTCGATTCGATCCATATACAATGAAAGTATTATTTAATTCGTATATGTGCAGCAAAATCAATTTAGTCTGGTGTCCGCAGTATACCGTTCAGAAACAAAGACTTGAGCTGATTCAAAACAAATTTTTGCGATTTATGGATTACAAGGTCAGTGGCACATACAATTACCTCGCAAGCACATATAGACTCAGGCAAAAATTCCAATTTCATCCACTAGAGGCCCGCCGAGAACAATCAGATATATATTTTTGTTTAAAATTCTGAACAATGTAGTAGATGAGCCTAATTTATTATCAAATATATCATTCCATATGTGTCTTCACGAATTCTTAGACAAGACGAGCTATTTTGAGTTCTATTTCGTCGCACAAACTTAGGAATGAACTCACCACTACACAGAATGTCAACTCTTCATATCAGAAATTCTTCTTCAATCGATCTATCTCAGTTCTCACTAATTGTTTTCAAAATGAAAATATGCACAAATAATTAACAATATGTCAAATCATTGCCAATCTTGAATATATAGGTTAAATATAAGATAAGATTTTATATTCAGTGATCTGTCATGGAAAATGCTTCCAACTGAATAATATAAAGCGAAAGTACTTTGGAGGAATTATTATAGTTAGGTAGGTGGTTTGAGTAGTCACTTTGAAGGATTTTTCTTATATTGTCAATGTCAAACACCAAATAATATACTTTTGAATAATTGAGTCATGTGGATGAATCGAATATATACACCACATTACTTATTGTCTTAGTGAATAATATTTTGGACCTTGTTGTCCTTTATTGTCTTATTTGATTTTCAATAAATAAATAAATGAATAAATAAATAGAAAAAAGAGTTTCATTTTACAGTGTGTAACAATTTGGTCCACCTCACCACTGTACTTTTAGTATTCCTCGGACAATTTGATTTTCTTTTCTGAAAATTGTTCTGGAATTGTTATTATCCATCATTCGGTTGCCCTCTTACAAGCAACCCTCAAAAGTCTTCAAGAGACTTGTGCGAGCAAGGAATGACGGGTCTTACCTTCAAGCGTGTGATCCCAAACACTTTCTTAGGCCATCAGAAAAATTTTTGCGGTCGTGGTGGGGATCTAACCCAATTATCGGCAATCCAACGTGGATAGAATACTGACGCTTCAACCACAAGGCTACGGTGGCTCATAATAAACTTCTCGAAATTATCTACTTTGTCGAGCAGAAGAAGATTATCAAACACATTTTTTTGGCCTACTGCGATCAGAAAATCTTCAGCAAAATTGAAGGGGACGGGTAAGGCATTTTTCAACAGAAATTCTGATGATGGCGATCGATTCGGACTAGTCACGAATACTCCTATATCAATTTTCAAAACGATAACTCAGAAGAGGTGTTTTTTATCAACGTTGAAATCTTTGCATATTTGTATTTTTCAAGTCACCGTGTATAATCAATATTTCTTATATGAATGGCTGATTAGTAGCTTGAATTGTTGATTTATTCCTCCTGAACCATTTTGTTCATCACATAAAATGTTGTTGGATTCCAGAAAATTTGTCAGTCTTCATCATTCAATAACTAGACCAAGGAGATGGAGATTTCCATACTTCAGAACTCTCCTCAGGATATGGCAGATATACATTTTCGCTGAAAATTTCCGGAAATACTTTTTCTTTTGCACGACTGCAAAATTTTTTTGATCGATTTTTTCGGCAGCGAATCGGAAGCACTCGCTGCCTTAGTTTCAGATTATAGAACGGCCATTTTCTTGAACATTTTGGAATGAAACGACGCATTTTCTAAAAATTACAAGTTGTTTGACAACCAACAACAATAAACAATGGGTGATAAGATGAATGGTGTCTGAAATTCTGGAAACAAGTCATAACATTATCTCATGTACTATGGAACATGCGATCCTAAGCTTTGTAATAATTTATTGTAATATTGAATTCCTTATATATTATTATTAATAATTTAGACGATCATTTTTGAAAGCGTTTGTTGAGAAAACATTTCATGATGTTCTTGATAACAGTGCTCTTTTTTTTGTTCGAAAAAATAGCACTTGTCACCATTATCATGAATAGTAGTTATTATCTTCCTTCTATGAAAACTCGTGCAATGTATAAAAATATCATAAATGGTGGTAACATCAATACGCATCCACCATTTCATGAACAGTTGGGATTACAGTAGTTGAGTGACCTTCTAGATTACTAGAAAGTCAAGACATCATCGAACTGCATAAAAGTCATCGATATACCTACTATATATCATCATCTCCAGGATTTCTGAGATATCAGTTCAGTTTGGTAGTAGCGTCTACAAATCAATGAAAGAATATAGAAATTCTAAGATATGGCGAGAGCGCAAATTTTCCTTCACCATTCGTTTCGTCTGAAGGTGGATTCATGCCTGTTTTCATGTGTTGTTTTCATTAACTAAACAGAAAATATTAGACATAGCTCTCACAAGGATTGTATACTTCCTCTGTCTGATAGTTTAGTTCAAAGAACCTTGGGATTATACTTGATTCGTTCGCTCAATTTTATCAGACATGTCAATATGATCATCAGGCGTGCTTTTTGTGATTTGAAATTGATTTATGCCAACAGGTTACTCTTTTAGACAAATGTAGTAGAATATCTCCATGTGAGTCTCGAGTTCTTTCACACTTAAATTATACGGATATCATCTACGGACCAGCCATAACTTAAAAAGCGTCTTCAACTCATTCAAAACTCTTGCGTGTGTCTCATCTGTGGACTAAGTAGACGTGATCATATTTCTGGACCTTTGAAAGATCTAGATGATCTAGGTGATCTAGAAATGACAGTTTATTGTGATACGAGTACAACAAAAATAAGTCTGCCAAAAAGCATATCATTGTTCTAAAAAAAATTATATCCCTACTAATATTATAAATGTGAATGTGAGTTTGTTTGTCTGGTTTTCACGACCAAACTACCACACCGATTATCATTAAATTGTGTATAAATATTTTCGGATGTATTAGAAAGGACATAAAATACTTTTTATTGGAAAAAATTACGGCTGGTGAAAAAAAAAATTTTGCCAGACATGATTGTTGAACACATAATAACCAATAATCAGATATTAATTTGGATGATGTAATGGAAATGTCAAATATCTAACCAAACATCAGGTGGGCACTGTGAATGCGCGAATTTATCTCATTAGGCATTCCAGAACACGTGACTTTTGACAAATTTCTAATGGCCGCCGGTAGGCACACAAGTATTTTTTGTTGATTTACGTAGCAGCAGTATAATTTTTGGTAGATATATCAAATAATAATAATGGTTGTTTTGAACAAAAGTGGATATTTATTATCCTTGGACCGCTATAACAAAGATATTGCGATACGAAAGTATGTGTGCCTACAGTCGGCCATATTGATTTAGATGGTTTGACAGCATCTTGGATAGGTCAATTTAACATGCATTTAACCCTTCACAATTTTTGTCATTCAGTTACTTGACATCGAATGATATTGACGTTTTAGGCTTCTGCGTGAGATGTTTATAGCCTCTAGGCATCTTACTTCTGCGCAACCAAAATGCATGATTCAATACTACCTTAATTGGTTCCTCTACAGACAGGGCGCAACACATAACTCATTTTCATTGTAGTGAAATATATGTGAAGTTTTGTTGTTGTAAATTGTTTCAATAAAGCATTGTTTCGGTTCTTGAAACTTCATTGTGTGTAGTAATTTTTATATACTGAATCCCATTGGTGTTTATTTAACGGCTACAATGCGAGCACAGCCGCAGGTAGAAGCTAGTGTTGAATAATTGTTCAAAAAATACCCACTCTTCATCATATATTCAGTTAATAATTCCAGGACTACCTACTTACACGAGGGCAGCGTAGGCAAATTCTTTTCATGGTATAATTTTTCTTAGATTCAAATGAAAAAAAAAAAAATTGCATGCATCTACTAATCGTTCGAAATCATGATTTTTTAAAGCAAATTCTAATTTTATTGGTAAAGCCGCTGTATACGATCACATCATGACTTGGAAGATACATTCATTGAAACAAACGTTGCAAAAACTATGCCAGTCTATTATGAGGCATTGGTTCAAGGCTGGGACTACAGAGGAATGCAATAAAAAAAAGAAAAAGAAAAAATAAACTGTATTTTAACATCCATTGTGAAATCCTCCATCACCTGCATCTACAGGAACGCAATACATCTGGCTTCTGCACATCACAATAACGTGTTCAGATGGATGTTCTCCGGGTTTTGGAATGGGACTCACATACTGGGAATCTTTTTTCTTTCCTGGAATCCTAGACGCTCCCAGAATCCTATAGTACTGGGCCATGCATAGTGGTTGACCAGGTTCTCTGAAATTGTAGAAAAAAACTCTATCAGAAGCGGAATCAGAAGCAGGTGCTCAGGGAAATGATTGTTTGACCATCTGGAGAGCTTCTATTCTTTGGGCTCACCATAAGCTCTCAATTAAGTTGTTTGGCTGATTTTCAAAGCTCACTATCTATTCTATTCTAACGTGTCGTTATCAGAACTATTGAATAGGAAGAAGAGCTATGGAGGTTTGAGACCAAAATTTCAAATGGATTTTCAGTAGTAATAGTAACAGTACTCCAAAATATACGAATAATACATCACACACATTTCTCCAAAGATTCGAATAATATCATCATGGACATGAAAAGTGATTTAGAGAAAATATAATCTTGGTTACAAGTTCATAAACTAACTCTCAATTGTAATAAATCCTCATATATGTACATAGCAAAAAGAATACTGAACATATCGAATAAAACACTATCCTTCAACAATAAACTCATCAAATATACAGATGTTACAATATTTTTAGGTCTTTATGTTGATGAACGACTTTTGTGGAATAAACATATAGATCATTTGAGAAATAAACTTTATCACAGGCATTCTATCCAAAATTCGAAATTTCATTTCTACTAGATACTTGACACCTGATATATATGGGGAAGTACCAATATTCCACGTTTGCGATTTTCACTTCGATTTTTTTAGAACCAACTATGAATTTATACAAACCAAGAGATCTATTAGATCTGATATCACAAAAAACCAATATTGCATCAGTATTGTCAAATGTTCATTGTCCATTTATCAACAATATTGATATCACATTTTGTGACCAATATAACTTCACGAATATTCCAGCAATATTGGTATGAGAATATTCTACCAATATTTCTGAGACAACATACCTTCATGATGATTTTCAATGATTCACCGATATTTTCATATATTACACCAATATTGCCGAATGTTCACCATTAATTTCTCGCCAATATTGATATTACATTTTGTGTCCGATATAACTCTACGAATATTCAACCAATATTAATATGAGAATATTCTATCCACATTTGGAAACTGATATTGTACCAATATCGCCGAATGTTCACATTTTTTTTCTCGCCAATATTACTTTCACAATATTTTGCCGATATTTTCGTAATATTACACCGATATTGTCCCAATATATGTGTGCTACTTGGGTTTAAGATCATACGAAGAAAATAATCATGATAATCCATTCCGATAGAAATTTGACAGCATTCTGCTGACTGATTTTTCGGTATTCTTGAAGCGGTAGACTGTTCATTCATTATTCAGTTAGCTAAATATGATCATTATGTCCAAAAAAACAGACATGACTGACTATTTTCTTCATGGGACACATGTTCCTCCGGAGTGATATCAAATTCTTCCATGGAATAACGTTTTTCTGATTTGGATACTATGAATTCCATAGTTTTTTTTATTTCGAAAGCCTCTTTGAAATTTTTTTGTCATGAAGCTGAAATCCATTACTTCTAGGAATTGCTTGTCCGTCTGAGTGTAAAAGATCTTAATGCAATTCAATTCGAAAAACAAACTGACAGGACATCGTTACTCACTACCCAACCCTTCTCTATGCTTCATCAATAGAATGTTCAGTTATTCCAAAATCAACCTACGTAGGAGCATAAAGGTCACTTTGACCCAGAACTCTCATTGCTCATCTACTGAAATGTTGCTATACCTTGAGGTGGCTCGATCTATAGGAAACGCTTTCCTATTGAGGATATCCTTGTGGTCCAAAGCAGCGTCAATCAACCTGGCAGTGAATCTGGCAACGTCCAAAATGGTGGTGAACTTTCTTGGGGGAAAGACCATGCCTGGATTCGAGTTGATTGGAATCGGAATCCGGATATTGAAGTACATGTCGTTGAGCCAGTATTCGTTCGACTGAAAAAATAATCAATGAAGCACTAGGACAGGTGATTTTTATACTGGGGGACATGTTTGATAATGTAGCGTTGCAGTAATATAACATGTTGCTGTATAATTGCTTCAACCTCGCATCAACATAGCTATCAAATTCGTCTAGTGGGAGGAGTTATATAATTATAGAAAATGTCATCTACTGCAACTTCCTAACGGGTGGTCTTTTCGATAAAATTTATAGTTTCCGACTCACGGGCAAAAAACTGAAAAAAGTTCGGAAATTTCGCAGTTTTTTGCGAATATCTTGGAACGCTCCAGGAAATTTTGTTTTCAAACTTCAAACTCAGATTCAGCACCGACAAAAACGTATAATACCGCAGAGAAACCAACTTCTTGAATTTTTTCCTCGTGCAAGTACCATTTTATTGGACTAATGACCACAATTTCCACTCTCGCTCAACCAAACAAGGTTTATGATACTGTTCCTATATTTGGAGTGCAGCACCCAAACATTCTCTGAAACTGTTGGATTCTGTCCAGAAAAGGGCAATTCGTCTCGTGGGTGATGCCTCGCTCAAAAACTCACTCACTTCTCTGGAACACCGTAGGAGAGTTGGTGATCGGGCTCTACTTTATAGATATTTTCATGGACGATGCTCTTCTGAAATATCAACAATTGTTCCTCCATTGGCAGTTCCCGCGACATTAACCCGTCGTATTGAGGCTTCGCACCCCTTCGTGGTCGTGGTCACTTTGGAGACCTGCAGAACATCTCTTTCCAAAGACCCGTTTATCCAAGGAACAGCGAGGCTCTGGAACACTTTGCCAAAGGAGGTGTTCCCCGAGACATATAACCTCCAGAAATTCAAGGAAAACACCAATTCCTACCTTATTTCCCATGGTTCTCACGATGTTCTCTGAACATCACAGGATATCCCTTTTCGTGGGAACCAGAACATAAAAAAAAGCTTCTACAGCAACTCGTTTGTCGATAGGACGACAAATCTTCGGAGTATCTTGTCCAAGCAGATACGCTCGATGTTCCAGAATAATGTAGGTAATAAGAAATGTCGATCGATGGATCCCAAATATAGAAGAATCAATTGATAGAAGGGGTAGATTGGAACAATCCAAATCTTAACAACAGATAATCTGAAGCCAATTTGACCCTGTCGGGAAAAATCCTCTTTGTAACCGATGCGTAATAATTCGATCATCTCGGCTATTGTCTCAGGCCGTGGGCCATTGAAGCGATTGGGTGTGGGGTCTGTAATACTGCGCAAGCGTTGTTAGTGTTTCCCTGGATTGGTTATCGGCCGCATTGAATGTTGAATACTACAACGAAAGGAATGTGTTGCCACAGATAAGGGTAGTTCAGATAGGTTTCATAAGAGTTCCTGAATGTATTTGACACTTTTGTTCTGGCGTTCTTATTGTATATACAGGGTATCCCTGAAAGGTCTTTACAGAAACTGATCACATATTCCTCAGACCAAAACATTTTCATACAAGCCAACTTACTATTCTGTAATACAATTGATACTTTTTTCTAATGTATGATAAATTGCTATTCATCATACAGGACGTGGAAAGGAATTCTGAATTGAGAAAACTTAATCATGAATCTGCGATTGAGGTCTTTGAAAATAACAAGTTTCCATCGTTCAAGATTGAACCCCTTGATGGGGTGAAAGTATTGAAAAGGAATATTCTCAGATATATTCGGCGACCTTTCACTTTTCTATCGATACTTCCACGGGAAATATTCTTCGGAAATCTCTGCTTTCATCCCTCCACCAGCAATACCAGTCAGACGAACTAGACAAGCCCAGTCAGCACATCCTTTCGTCGTCAACTTCGAAAGATGTCGAACAGCACTTTATCAAAACTCCTTCATCCATAGAACGGCTAGGCTCTGGAATTCATTGCCTGAGGAAGTATTCCCAACAACATATAATCTCCAGAAGTTCAAAAAAATTTCCAATACCTACCTCCTATCCCTATCCTCCCTAGGAACGCACGATGTTCTTTGAACATTATAGGGATTCCCTCTCGTGCGCTCCAAGCGATAAAAAGATTAAAAAAAAAAATACATATACGCATATATACATATATATAAATATATATACGCCATTTTAAAACAATTTGGATGATTGAACTTCGCGTGATTATGCCCTATATACCGCGTGGAAATTTGAACAGAGGTGACGTCAGATTTCCTACAGTGTAGAACTTTGGGTGGAAAAAGGGGTCTAACCTCAAATTTCATTTTGATCCCTAAATTCTTTGTATTAGTGCCATTCGATAGTACACGTCGAGCTTTTTAGTGTTTGAAATATTTGCACTTATTTCAATGCCACCCTGTATATAGAGAAATACACTGAGAATTCGCATTCTCCATGTGATGAAAATATTAATAACAACTACTTTCCTGGCGATATGCCACGACGAACATTGAAATACATCTATTGAACACACACGATAAGAATTTGGAACAAAACTTTATGAAGGAGAGAATTTGCATATATATATACACATAATATAATTTCGAATATTCAACAGAAAACAACTACTTTCCTGGCTATTTGCCACGTCGAACATTGAATTATATCTGTTGAATATCCAAAAAGAGAGCATGCAAAATCAAAATCCTGTGAAATTGAGAATTGACATTATAGTTTTAGTTATATTATAGGGAGATGAAAATTGTGTATATCATGAAGAATGACTGAAAGAATAACTGGACTTCAGGTTACTGATGAGGATCTGATATCCGAAATGAGTTTTACTCGAGTGAGAGAGATTTCATTTCCATATCACTGATACGAATGATTTTTTTTTGAAGTTCAAAGCTCATCAGGATCAGAGTTCATACAAGTATACTTCTCTTTTACATTTCAATTTCCATTTCAATATTGAACATATTGGTAAGTTATATTTTATCATCATATTATACTATTCGATCGGAGAGATAATTGATACTATCTGAAATTCAATTGATTATCATGAAAAACTATTGATGCTTTCTGAAAATGAACTGACTATTCTGAAATACTATTGTCGTTTTCTGAAATACAACTGAATAGGTGTAGATGGCATAGCACCTTTTCCAGTTGTATTTCAGAAAGCGTCTATTGTTTTTCAGGAGAGTCACTTGTATATCAACTGGAAAAGATGTAGATTATCATGCAATATCTGGGGTATAACAATCAATTTCTTGGGTTATGCCACGCAGAACATTGATTTCGGTAGGATCCCAGCAAACATTGAACTAGCGGGAGAAGTCCGGCCTAGTGCAGACTAGTCTGGGAAAGTGACCATGCCGGGGTGGTAATAGGTCGATGATTTTTCTGTGCCAAGTAACCATCAGTTAAAAATACGATGATGGCCTAGTGATGGTGAGATGTCTAGAACTAATTGAATTCCAACGAGATCTGGCCCTTTGCGGGCCAATTTCATGTTCGCTACTCGTCCCCCTGATGGATGTTCTGGGAACGTCTTCATCAACAATCAGCTGATAAATATTATATGTGACTAAGATGACTGACTCTCGTGAGTGGTGATTGCGTACTAGTTTGTTTATGTCGAATTAATGTGGTCCTCTCTTTCCCTGGTGGTTATTCATGATGGCAGGAGTATTTTCAATTAACAATAGAAGACGGATTCTTCAATTATGATTATATTGAGTAAGTATCAATCTACCTGCATAGTGTCGTTTAGACTTTCATTATTAAATGCATGTGTTTGGTATCTCGTAACCTCATTATACCTAATGATCATAATAATTGGAGTTGGCTATATACTTCTCCAGAAGCAACTATCATTTTTAACTCGTTTGTAGCTATCAAAAGCAATCTTAGGTTATGTGAACCTGTCTCCATAATAAAGAAATAAATAACAATCAAACCCGCTTCAAACCAATTTTCAAATCTCTAAAGACAATTTCAATTTCTTCCAATAACTAATTGACTGAATTATGAGTCAATATTCTTTTAATTGCTCATCTGTGTCGCACCATTACTCATAATTACATATTCATTCCATTTGATAACATACCAATTGCAATTTGTTAATTTAATTCAATTTGCAGTTATTTATCCGGATCTGACAACAATGTACGTCACACACACATTTCAATTATTTACTCTGTCTTGCTTGTCATATGTTCTAATTTGTTCCGAGGTCACTGTCATTAATCATCTTCTATCATTTTGTTTCATGTCAATCTGTCTGTCATGTCTCAATTTATGTCTTTTCTTCCCGAAAGGAGAGGAAACAGCATCTCAATTGATATTGCTATTTGAAATATTTTGGATAAATCCAAAAACATCTCAAGAAATGACCAATGCTGAATGATACAATTCCATTGTTTTTGATGCAGATCTTCTGTAAGACTATTTGACAAGTGAGTTTACAATTTCATTCACATATTTTCTTCTCCGAAATTAACAAACTTTTAAACTCAAATATTTTACACACATTTGATACCAAGAAAGGAAAATTCACTTTTCAGATACTCTCCTGATGATGGCCTAGAGCCGAAAACGTTTGAGTTGACTAATAAATATTGTATACTATAGCCCGAGTATTACTCATTATAATATTGATTATTTTGAAGGAATGCTTCCCAATAGTTGAAGAACAGAGAGGTTGAAAAAATATCATTATGTCATTTATCAAATTGTTTTCTTGAAATCGGGTATGTGTCTGATTCTTGATGGGAAGGTTATATTGTGAAATGAAAAGGTACTAGATCTTTGAGATCCATCGGACCCCTGAAACCCCTACCCCTCCCCTACCTCGATAGTATGTAACCAATGTCGTTAATTGGCCATTACAATCCCATCATTTATGTATATGATGGGCTTGTTATGGGAAACTCAATGTGTCGATTATGTTGTACTGGCCTTTTGCCGGGGAACTGAATATAATTGTTGGGTACCCAGCACTGGGACCAGCTGCCAGCCGCAGTGTACTGATATACAGAGTCCCGCATATGGGACCATTTACTGGGTCGCTGA